CTTTATTAGCCGCAGAGCGCACGAAGCGCCGCATTTACAACGGTGAGGATACGCGCGCGCCGCATTCGCGCCCGCTCAACAACTATTGCTTCTGCGCCTTCGTCATGCAGTAGCCTTTAACTCTATTTAGCTACAGTTCGGATCAATCTTCAGCACACTGGTTTTACAAATATGACTCAATTTTATGAAGCACTAGGCCGCAACATAGAGAAAGAAAATCACCTGTAGAGACCGATAGGTCCATCAGACTTGAACACTTTCACTATGCAATCGGTCAGACCCTGGAACTCTCGAGTTTTTCCCTTACCGATATCGACAGCAAGACGCGTTCCTGAACACCAGCAGATAGAAAAAAAAACTACATCAAACATAGCTGTTGCATACTTGCGAAGTCAAGTGGATATACGAAGAGCAAAGACGTAGCACCAGCTGCGCCACCAGCTGCAAGATTGCCACCGAAGAATCTCCAGAACTGTTTTTTCTTATCAACTCTGAAAAATGACAAAGCTAAAATCTAATAAAAGCAGCGCGTAGTTTGGTGGAAACAAACCCTTTCAAAAACATCACATTGTACGTATCCTTGAAAGCAAAGTTGAGAGCTTGTGTTGGGAAATATCTGATGACATTTGTGAAATTTCCTCTCCAGAGTGAGAAGAATCCCTGTTCCTTGGGGACACGGACCAAGACGTCGATGATACCCTTGTATCTCTTATCAGCGGTAATGGTTTTCGACGCATCTTGCACCTAGAAAAACTTACAATGTTGACTAAGAAACAGTGTTGTTTTCTTTCATATTGTCGATTCATTGAGCGCACAAATTAGCCGTGATTGCGGAACACGCGACGCGAGCTGAATCCTTGTAGCAGAGCAAATCGCCGTCGTAGAAGTCGTGTGTTCTCGCAACATTTCGCCGCGCGTTGCGCATAATGCCCGTTATATTTGCGACCTAAAAAGGAAGCTTAGGTAAGCGCCAGACTTACTCGTTTCAATCGGTTTTCGCGCGGTTTACTCATGCGCTATTGGTCCAATCACTGAAATGACCAATGGCGAACGAGTGAACCCGCGCATGCGGTTCATGAACCGGAAGTCTGGCGCCTACCTTAGGTGGCGCCAGACTTAGTGGATTAGCTGCTTCAGCAGGACGCGGCGTGTCAACTGGCGTCACGTTAGACGAAATCGAAATTTCAAGAAGAGATAAAAAGGCCTCGCAGAACAAAGAGATAATGGAAAGGTCTTACCAATAGAAAGATATGGATCCGGAAGCCCAATCTGATTTCAGTCCAACGTGCAACCAAATGATACTACATGCGCCGCACTCCGCCGAGGCAGATAATCTGCTAGTCTGGCGCCTACCTTACTCTTCAGTATGTCGCTTTTTATTTCC